GGAAGAGGGTTTAAAACTCCATGTAAAAGTAACAATCAAACTAGAATCCTATATCCACTCAGGTAATCATTTAAGTGTGAAGGTCACACTTGAAAACCATAGGCAACAAATACCAAATTGGACAAATGGCACTTAATTTATCTAAAATATTCTACAAACAAAATAAATCAACAGTGTCAATAATAACCTGCAGAGGGAAATATTTGTAAACTATGCATCCTACAGGGAACTAATATGCAGCTGGGAGTACAAGGAACTCAACTACTCAACGACAACAACAAAATCAATTAAAATATACAGAGGATATGAGTAGATGTGTTTGCAGAAGAAGACATACAAATGGACAACAGTAAATGAAAACATGTGCAACATCACTAATCGGGCCAGAGTAATGTGGCAAAACCACAACAGAGATACCATCTTACCTCAGTCAGAATGACTGTGAATAAAAGGGTGAAAATAACAGTCCTTGGCAAGGATATGGAGAAAGAACTCTACACACCCTTGGTGGAATGTAAATTAGTACAGCTTCTGTGGAAAACAGTATGATTTCTCAAAGAACTAAAGTTAGAACTCACATTTCCATTGGAGCAATCCTACTACTGCATTCTCAAAGGAAAAACTAGTCAATGTATCAAATATATACTTTATCTGTATGTTTACTTTCGTGCACATTCACAGTAACAAAGATACTTAATTCACAATGTATCCATCAATGATTGGTTGGATTAAAATGTACTTATATATATACAATCGTACTCACTTCAGTCAGAAAGAATAAAATCACACATATTGTGACAATATGCATGGAAATGGGAGTCATTTTCTTAAGCAAACAGGCTAGAGAGAAAATCAAATATAATATGTTCACTGGTAAGTGGTTGCTAAGAACGTGTTTGCATGGATGTAGAGAATGAAATGATAGATACGAATACTTGGGAGTATGGGAGGCCGTAGGATTGTGCTGTGAGGTATTAATAAATGCAGTGTTTGTTATTTGACTGATGAGGCTCATACTGCTCTTCACTTAAGCACTACTGCCATCAGTGTAACAAAATCAAACTTGCATTTGTGCAAAAATATTTATTTTCATTAACAGAAATCTACATACTGCTTCCCTACCCCAATTACAAAAAGAAGACAATGACCAGTGTGGCCATAGCAGAATGAATTAGGTGTAGAGCATCCCCCAATTACACGGAGAGTTAGGGGGCAATACATAGCCTTTAGCATAGTAAAATTACAGCAGCTGGGTGCAGTGGCTCACATCTGTAATCCCAGCACTTTGGGAGTATGAGGCAGGTGGTTCACAAGGTCAGGAGTTTGAGACAAGGCTGGCCAACTTAGTGAAACCCCGACTACTAAAAATACAAAAAATTCACTGGGTGTGGTGGCACACACATGTAATTCCAACTATTCAGGAGGCTGAGGCTGTAGAATCTCTTGAACCTAGGAGGTTGCAGTGAGCTGAGAACTTGCCCCAGCAATCCAGCCTGGGAAACAGAGCAAGACTCTGTCTCAAAAAAATTAAAAAGCATCCGATTCTACAGAGTAAAAGTGGTAGCAATCAACTGGAAAACACAGAAAGGTAATATTATAATTCTTTAAATGGCTAAGTTGGGTAACTGACTGTTTGGAAATAAATAGAACTCTTTGGTGTAAACTGCAGATGAGGCTTGCTGAGGTGGGCTGATAGAGATGAAAGTGATGAAACAGACTGCGTAGGGAAATTATTTTGAAGCTTGAACTTCACAATGATAACATAGCTTATTTGACTAGATGTAATGTGATGAAAGGAAAAGAGTCAAGAAAAAAATCCTGGTTTGCTTAATTAATTAGATGAATTCTTTATCAAGACAAAAAAAGAGTTGGAAGAGGAAGAACTTACCTGTAGGAGGAAGAGGCAGAGGTAGGAGAAACCCTGGGAGAGAGAGGGAGATTCCTGGAAAGATTGATAGAGTGGTCCCAAAAGAAGGGTAGGATCAATGGTGTTAAACTTCTGAGGGGAAGTAAGACATGCAGGACTAAGAAATGATTCCCTGAATAGAATGGAGGCCGTAGACTTAATTCTTCACAGACTGGAACTAGAAAGAACAAAAGCATCTATAAGGTGTGCATAAGAAAACATTAGAAGTGAGGAGATGGGGAAATAATCACATAGATAAGTTTCAAGAACTTTTGCAATAAAACGGGAGACAAATATTATGGTAGGAAAGAAGCACTAAGAGTCTTAGGAAGACTTCTATAGAAATGGGTGACGTTTCAGCAGACTTTGGCAGATTGAAATAATAGATGTAAGAATCAGGAGACAAAGGGGTCACATGCAGAAGCAAAATCCTTGATGGGTCAATGTGGTTCTTGAATCAGAGGAATATCAAGAGGTGGGGTAGGAAGGCTTTCCCTATGGTAATAGGAGGAGAAGCCAGAGACCTGGGATTCAACTGAAGGTGGGTTGCTCAACTTAGTGGTGGTTATGGTGAGATCATTCTGTTCTGATTTTTCTGACTTCTCTTAGTGAATTCATTCGAGGCTGTCAGTGGGCAAAGAGGCACTTTCTAATATTGAACCTTCCTTGCTTGAGAAGCAGACATGCCAGTCCCTGCAAGGTTTTTGGTATGTATGTTATCTTATTAGCCTCCATACTCTGAGGGAGTTGTTATGATTATTCTCATTTTAGATGAGGAAATTGAAGCCCTGAGAGTCTAAGTAGACTTTTAAGAGTCAAGAGACAGTAAGAAAAAGAGTTATGTCTTAATTAAAATCTGAGAGTGTCCAAATTCTTTGCTCCTTATAATCATGTTGATTCTTTAATGAAATCCATTCAGGTTTCACTAAAGAATGGTGAGGAACATGGAAAGGAGAGAAGTGGATCACGGATAAATAGGGTAAATGTGATAGAGAGGTTGTGGGGATAAGGAAGCATGAACCATATTCATTCCTTTGAAACCGAACTCAATTTCTTAGAAATTGTAAGAATTTCTTTCAACTTCTGTGACTTTTTTGCACTTGTTGTGTTTTTTGTCCTTAAGATTACCGGAATATCAGTAAACAATCAGAAAATAATTTTAAAATTTCAATTTGTGCTACACAGGTCAGGGAAGGGCCAGGCATGGTGGCTCACACCTATAATCCCAGCAGTTTTGGAGGCCAAGGCAAGTGGATCACCTGAGGTCAGGAGATGGAGACCAGCCTGGTGAACATGGTGAAACTCCATTTCACCAAAATACAAAAATTAGCCATGCATGATGGTGGGGCACCTATAACCTCAGATACTTGGAAGGCTGAGGCAGGAGAATAGCTTGAACCCAGGAGAGGCAGCAGTGGCAGTGGGCCGATATCATGCCACCGCACGATCACTCCAGTCTGAGGAAAAATTCCATCTCATGGGGGAAAAAATAGAAGTCAGGAAGTAGATAAACACCAAAACCTTTTTTCACGGCAGCTGGCTAAATTAGGATTAAGCAGGAGGGAAGCTTCCTGGAGCATCATGAGAAGGGTTCCTAGATGTTCTTAGAATGTCCTCTTGGTCCTCAGATCCCACATTCACAAACATTGAGAAACAGACACCACAATCAGAAATTGCAAGCTGATTATTTTATTGGTATATTGAAGTTAGAGCTATGACCACCTTCTTCCAATGTCACTGGCATTTGGAATTCATTTGAATCACTGTCGTCTTTTATTCATTTCCTGAAGCAACAAACAAGGAGGTTCATAGACCAGACTTGACTTGGCAGGAAATGTCTAATTCCTCCCTGGAGTTACTGCAGTAGAGTACATGAGAGCCCATCCCCTCTTTCCCCATCCCTTCTACCTCCTGTGTTTCCTTCCTAAGTTTTTGTGTGTTCACTATTTTGATGCCCTTCCTTTGCACAAAGTGTGCTCCAAATTGTTCCTGATGTGATGAAAAGATAAGATCATTCTTGGCTTGTTATTACTTGCTGCTGAATTTGTTCAGGGATATATTTACACAATGGTAACTGGAATATATTCTATAATAGTGAGAAGCTGAAACCACCCTCAGTGTCCAGTGACAAGGATTGGTTAAAGAAATCACAGTGCAACCAAATAATGGAATAGTGTAAAATTGTCAAAGCAAGCAGATAACCACTGAAGAGATTTACTCATGTAGAAATGTCCAAAGAAATGTATTATTTAAATAACTAACATATGTACCTGCATATAAATTATGATCTTAGTTCTGGGGGAAAATTATTCTAATTGTCTACGTACAAAAAAATATTTCAAAGAGAAGATGCCATTAAGTTAACAGTGGTAGTTTTCTAAAGGAGAGCAGTCTGGTAGGATGAGTTATGCCTTTAAATTTAGTTTTATATTTTTCCATTCCATTAGATATTTGTTGCAAGCTTAATTACGTACTTACTGAAAAGTAAGAATTTAAAACCTGAGACACCATTTAGCTGCTGAGTTCAGGACCACTTGGCAGGAATACTGGACTAGAGAGGTTAATGTAAGGCAGGACGGAGCAAACAGTGCTCAGGTGAAAACGTTAAATGGGAGGTCTGTGAGTTTGTGGACAGAAAACAGAGTGCCAGAGCGAACATGGTACTACTTCCTCATTGCCAATACAATTTAAGACAGATTATTTGGAACGTTGTTTCTCAACATCAGAATTCCTTCAACAGCTTGTTACAAATATAGGGCCTTGTTACCCATTTCCAGAATACCTGAACACAAATCTTTAGAAATGGGTTCTAGGACAATATAATGTCAATGGACTTTTAGTTGATTCTTTGTCACAGTAAATCTGAGACCGTGAGTAACAGAGCACTTGGTGAAGAATCAATTGAATCATACCTGTCATTGAATCCTAGATTACTGGGAGACTGTCCCTGGGGAGGTCCGGCGGGTCTGCCCCCTTGAGGAGCGGATGGTGGTCCCTGGGGCCTTCCAGCAGGAGGTGGCTGAGCCTGCTGAGCATTGCCTCCTGTTGGGTGGTCTTTAGCCTTCCTGGAGGTGGGGACCTTGATGTCTGTTGCCTCCTTTGTTGGGGAGTCCTTGTGGCCTTCCTGGAGGTGGGGGACCTTGATGTCGCTGCCTCCTTTGTTGGGGTGGTCCTTGTGGCTTTCCTGGAGGTGGGGGACCTTGAGGTTTCCTGCCTCCTTGTTGGGGTGGTCTCAGGGCCCTCCTGGAGGTGGGGGACCTTGGGGCCTGCTGCCTCCCTTTGCTGTTGTCCTTGTTGATGTTCTGGGAGGAGAAAGAGAGAAGAGAAAGACAGAGTAAAAGCCCACACAAGATTCACTGAATAGTTGCAGTAAATTTTGATCAGATAGGGTAACAAGCTGAGGGGGAAACGCACAAAAATGGGACCAAGACACTAATTTCTTTGCATTTGTGAAGACACAGGATTCTGGAATAGAATGCTAGGGAAGAACAAAGCAGTTGGGGTCTCAGGCATAAAGAGGAGTCAGTAAGGAGGATGTTGCATTTGTCTGTCATCTCCCAGCAGGCACTCCTGGTCGGGAAATGAGAAAACCCACTCCTGTTGACATCTAAGCCAAGCATCTCTGCCATTCAATTTTGTGGCCTGCTCACGGTCCTCAGAATCAAGCTTGCATGAAGATTGCCTATTATTAGTGGCACTAACATTAATCACCCTGGAAAGTGTTGATAAGAAGACACTGGAGAGCTGATCCATTTGTGAGCAAAAAGACAGTTAAACAGATTGAGAATAAATTGGGATTTACCAGATATTAGAGGGAGATTCTCTCCTGGCCGACATCTAGAAAGAGAAGCACAGGATGATGGGAGTTGTATTCCAATCTTTCAAGACCTCACAAGTTCTACAGGAAAAGGGGTCTTTCTACCTACCCCATGAATCCCCTAAGTTAACTCGACAGCCACTGTCTGTGAAGCTGCTGAAAGGGGAGGAAGCTGTAAGATGAGGCACAGTTGTTACAACACAGAGCAACAACCATGAACTCAACATAGAAGAGCCCCTTTTTTCCCTCCCTGGCATCCTCAAGACTTAATGCGGATTTAGTTTACACATGCCAGGGACTTCAATGTGATAGTTTGGTATTCTTATTCCTCCACCTCCTATAAATACATTGCTTATGTACACATGCTCTCTCAATTATCGTAAACAGAAGTAATCATTTCAACACAATCTTACCCATCCCACTTCCAGCACATTGAAATACAGTATAGGGAGAGATAAATGACAATCATTGGCTCTGATATTTCTATATCTCTAGTTAGACAGAGACAAGTGTTCCATCCAGTTCTCTCTCTGCAGTATCTCTGTTGTGTGTTTATTTCCATCATCCATGCTGATCCACCACACAGCAAAGCCACCATCATCCCTCTGTACTTAGTGAGATCAGTATAGTATTTGGCCAAATTGACTTCTCTTGAATCTGCCTTGCATTCTCCACTGCATCCTTTCACAGCACAGTCATATTCCCGATAAATGCCAATCTTACCTTCTCATTCCCCCGAACAAACTGTTTAATGGATTTCATTGTACGTTAAATAAATTAGAAAACTTTAGTGTGGAATGAAGGTGCAATTGGTCTCCTGATCCCAGGCCTGAAAATTGTGCAGCCCCATCTGTGTTTTGATCTCTCTTCTCTTCCCCCTAATTACCATTATCACCTCCTAAGCCACAATCAGGGTCACCGCATCTTCTCCCCCTTCTGTTTTACCTTCATTTAAATTCTGAGCTGAGCTCAGGCTGGCAGGGCCACTGACAGCAGAATCAACAGCATCTTGCAGGAGTTTCGAGGTGCTCCCAACTCTGTGCTGAGGAACGGGCAGCTCCCTTTACAAAGAGGACTGGGAACAATGACATTCCTTTGAGCTCCACACTGGTGGGGCCTCACCACCTCAGAGACTGGGTTCTGCTTTTTTCACTGCAGGTCATGCGTATCCCTTTATTTCTTTGACACTTAGCCCAGAGGGGTGGGTTGCTGATATGTTTCTAGTCTTATTTCTAAAAGGTACAATTAGACTTGAACTATGGTTTTCATGAACTGTCCAAGCCAGCACTGTGTCATACTCCTTGAACTTAGATAACATGAGAGTTTCAGTCTTTTACATAAGACTATTATCCGCTTTCCACTGTGCTATTTATTTCTGTTGATGTGTGAGCAGCGACACAGCAGTGAAGATGGTCAATATCTCCGGATCTTTTATGGCCTATGTCCCTCTCTTGTGAGGTGATTGAGGGAAGACAAAAATTATCTAAATTTTTGATGAGATAGAGATGGCTTCTGCTATCTGTGAGATGTGTGAGGACAGCACACTCCTGAGCACACAAAGATGACAGAAAGCTGCCCCGCGAGTCTGCTCAGGCTACAGCTATCGCTCAAGCTTCTGTGATCTCACCAGCTCAGGAAGGCTTGGTGCTGTACAACACAGGAAGGCTAAAATTTGTATTTAAAGTATTTTAAAGCATTTTTAAGTGCTATTAATGCAAAATGAACACAGAAACCACCAGGAGCTTTCTAGACCTGAGAAAACTGAATGCAGAGATCTATAAGGGAGCCATGTGATGTTATGTCACTAAAACTTTTTCTATGCCCTTTCCTTTCTCTAGAATATCTCTATAAAATTCATATCCACCCTGTGCCGTTAGCTAAGACCATTGGAAAAGCACAATATTAGGGTGGGAGTGACCTGATTTTCCTGGTGCCATGTCTCACAGCTTCCTTTGGCTAGGAAAGGGAATTCTATTTACAATAGCAAAGACTTGGAACCAACCCAAATGCTCATCAATGATAGACGACATTAAGAAAATGTGGCACATATACACTGTGGAATACTATGCAGCCATAAAAGAGGATGAGTTCATGTCACCTTGTAGGACACGGATGAAGCTGGAAAGCATCATTCTCAGCAAAACTATCACAGGGACAAGGATACCGAACACTGTATATTCTCACCATAGGTGGGAATTGAACAATGAGAACACTTGAACACAGGAATGGGAATGCCACAATCGGGCCTGCCACGATTGGGAGGGATAGCATTAGAGATATACCTATTGTGAATGATGAGTTCATGGGTGCAGCACACCAACATGTCACATGTACACATATAATACAAACTCTGCACGTTGTGCACACGCATCTCTAGAACTTAAAGTATAGTAATAAAAAATTACAGGTCTGCCAACCTGCAGGACTCTTCACGTCCCCCTGTCACTCACCACCATCAAATGCCCTGGCTGATGACAACTTGACAATTCATAAACACAGGGAGGGAAGAATCGCAAAAGAATACATGTTCCACGAGTTAAATGGCACTACTTGAGAGGCACTCCACGACCAGAATGTGAGGATATTCTTAAAGGCAACTTACTCTAGGGGGCGGAGTAAGATGGCTGAATAGGAACAGCTCCAGTCTCCAACTCCCAGCGCGAGCGACACAGAAGACCGCTGATTTCTGCATTTTCAACTGAGGTACTGTCTATCTCTACTGGGGAGTGCCAGACTATCGGTGCTGGCTGGGCTGTTGCAGCCCGACCAGCGAGAGCTGAAGCAGGGTGAGGCATTGCCTCACCTGGAAAGCGCAAGGGGGAAGGGAATCCCTTTTCCTAGCCAGGGAACTGAGACAATATCAACACCTGCAAATCGGGTAACTCCCACCCCAATACTGCGTTTTTAAGCAGACAGGCACACCAGAGATCATATCCACACCTGGCCGGGAGTGGCCCACACCCACGGAGCTTCCTCATTGCTAGCACAGCAGTTCAGGATCTACCGGCAAGGCAGCAGCTGTAGGCTGGGGGAGGGGCGCCCGCCATTGCCGCCATTGCTGAGGCTAAGTAAACAAAGCTGCTGGAAGCTCGAACTGGGTGGAGCTCACAGGCTCAAGGAAACCTGCCTGTCTCTGTAGACTCCACCTCTGGGGACAGGGCACAGTAAACAATAACAAACGAAGCAGAAAGCTCTGCAGATGCAAACGACTCTGTCTGACAGCTTTGAAGAGAGCAGTGGATCTCCCAACACGGAGGTTGAGATCTGAGAAGGGACAGACCTCCGGCTCAAGTGGGTCCCTGACCCCCGGAGTAGCCTAACTGGGAGACATCTCACTAGGGGCAGTCTGACACCCCACACCACAGGGTGGAGTACACTTGAGAGGAAGCTTCCAAAGCAAGAATCAGACAGGTACACTCGCTGTTCAGAAATATTCTATCTTCTGCAGCCTCTGCTGCTGATACCCAGGCAAACAGGGTCTGGAGTGGACCTCAAGCAATCTCCTCAGCTAACAACCTACAGCTGAGGATCCTGGACTGTTGAAGAGTTATCAAACAGGAAGAGCACCACTAAAACCCCATCAGTACATCACCATCATCAAAGACCAGAGGCAGATAAACCACAAAGATGGGGAAAAAGCAGGGCAGAAAAGCTGGAAATTCAAAATAAGAGTGCATCTCCGGCAAAGGAGCGCAGCTCATCGCCAGCAACGGATCAAAGCTGGACGGAGAATGACTTCGACGAGATGAGAGAAGAAGGTTTCAGTCCATCAAATTTCTCAGAGCTAAAGGAGGAATTACGACTCCAGCGCAAAGAAACTAAAATCGAAAAAAAAGGAAGAATCTGATGGCTAGAGTAATTAATGCAGGAGAAGCCTACAAAATGAAATGAAAGAGACGAAACCATGACACGAAATACGTGACAAATGCACAAGCCAGTAACCATCTCGATCAACTGAAGAAAGAATGTCAGCGATGAGACTGTTAGTGAAATGAAGCGAGAAGAGAAAACCAAAAGAAAAGAAGAAAAAGAAATGAAATGAAAGTTTGTAAGAAGTATGGGATTATGTAAAAAGACCACCCACGCCTGATTGGGGTGCTCTGAAAGTAGGGGGAAAATGGAACCAAGTTGAAACACTTCAGGATATCATCCAGAACTTCCCAACCTAGTAGGCAGGCCAACATTCAAATCCAGGAAATACAGAATGCACAAAGATATCTCGAGAAGAGCAATCACATATAATTGCCAGATTCACCAAAGTTGAAATGAAGAAAATCTTAAGGGCAGCCAGAGAGAAAGGTCGGGTTACCCACAAAGGGAAGCCCATCAGACTAACAGCAGATCTTCGGCAGAAACTCTTCAAGCCAGAAGAGAGTGGGCTAAGCATTCAACATTCTTAAAGAAAAGAATTTTAAAACCCAGAATTTTATATCCAGCCAAACTAAGTTTCATAAGTGAAGGAGAAATAAAATCCTTTACAGATAAGCAAATGCTTAGAGATTTTGTCACTCAATTAGCCTGCCTTACAAGAGACCCTGAAGGAAGCACTAAACATGGAAAGGAACAACCGGTACCAGCCATTGCAAAAACATGCCAAATGTAAAGACCATCAAGGCTAGGAAGAAACTGCATCAACTAACGAGCAAAATAACCAGTTAATATCATAATGGCAGGATCAAGTTCACACATAACACCTTTTAACCTTAAATGTAAATGGACTAAATGCTCCAATTAAAAGACACAGACTGGCAAACTGGATAAAGAGTCAAGACTCATCAGTCTGCTGTATTCAGGAGACCCATCTCACACGCAGAGACATACATAGGCTCAAAATAAAGGGATGGAGGAAGATTTACTAAGCAAATGGAGAACAAAAAGTGGGGTTGCAATACTAGTCTCTGATAAAACAGACTTTAAACCATCAAAGATCAAAAGAGAGAAAGAAGGCCATTACATAATGGTAAAGGGATCAACAGGAAGAGCTAACTATCCTAAATATATGGCACCAATACAGGAGCACCCAGATTCATAAAGCAAGTCCTTAGAGACTTACAAAGAGACTTCGACTCCCATACAATAATAATGGGAGACTTCAACACTCCACTGTCAACATTAGACAGATCAACAAGACAGAAAGTTAACAAGGATATCCAGGAATTGAACTCATCTCTGCAGCAAGCAGACCTAATAGACATCTATAGAACTCTCCACCCCAAATCAACAGAATATACATTCTTCAGGTATCACATCGTACTTACTCCAAAATTGACCATGTAATTGGAAGTAAAGCACTCCTCAGCAAATGTACAAGAACAGAAATTATAACAAACTGTCTCTCAGACCACAGTGCAATCAAATTAGAACTCAGGACTAAGAAACTCAATCAAACCGCTCAACTACATGGAAACTGAATAACCTGCTCCTGAATGACTACTGGGTACATAATTAAATGAAGGCAGAAATAAAGATGTTCTTTTGAAACCAATGAGAACAAAGATACAACATACCAGAATCTCTGGGACACATTTAAAGCAGTGTGTAGAGGGAAATTTATAGCACTAAATGCCCACAAGAGAAAGCAGGAAAGATCTAAAATTGACACTCTAACATCGCAGTTAAAAGAACTAGAGAAGCAAGAGCAAACACATTCGAAAAGCTAGCAGAAGGCGAGAAATAACTAAGATCAGAGCAGAACTGAAGGAGATAGAGACACAAAAAACCCTCCAAAATCAATGAATCCAGGAGTTGGTTTTTTGAAAAGATCAACAAAATTGACAGACCACTAGCAAGACTAATAAAGAAGAAAAGAGAGAAGAATCAAACCGATTTCCACTAAAAATGATAAAGGGATATCACCACCTGACCCCACAGAAATGCTAAACTACCATCAGAGAATACTATAAACACCTCACGCAAATAAACTGAAAATCTAGAAGAAATGGATTATTTCCTGACACTTACACTTTCCAAGACTAAACCAGGAAGAAGTTGAATCCCTGAATAGACCA